CCACACGTTCCTCTTTCCATCCTTTATTTTTCTCTTCGCGCACTATTGGACGAGAGGGAAAATAACCGATACGAATGGGCAGCATTTTGCAGGAATTACAACTATTTTACCGCTCACCGAGCAATCGAACGTTCCGTACGCAATCACGCGAATGTGTGAATTGAGAAACGAGAATCGACGGTTATTCTTACACGTATAAATATTTTTAAAGACATTTTTCCGGGAACTTAAATTACACTTGAATTATTTTAACAGTTACTTTTATTGTATTTTAAAAAGAGTTGATTGTATAGCCTTAAATTTAGTTTAATAAAGGCAAAATGAAAATTATACCACTTTTGTCTGTCTCGTTCAATTTTTACACGTAACATAAACGAATGTGTTTTCTGGAACAAAAATAACTTGTATGAATTACACTGTTAAATTTTAATATATTTTTATTGTGTTTAAAAGTTGACATCGTGATCTCAAGTTGATGGATAGAGGGCAAAAGTGTACTTGTCTATTTTGTTCTACTTTAACATGTATAACATAACTGAATATCACTGCTATATCCATTAATATACATAATGTATAATAGTGTCGCTGAAACGTTTGACAACCCGTTGTCCCCGTTGTTCCAAGAAATCGGACGCGCATCGTCGCTCCCGCTTTTTCCAATTCTATTTCCTGGCGGTTGACTCTTATTCGTACGCGGTTTTTATTATTCCACGGCGATGAGATCTGGTAACGATCAGTTCCCACATGGTGGAATTAGCATCCTGGCGTCATCAGTCACTCGTTTTGACACACCGAAAATAAATAGTCCGGCCATGCGGAGCGAGAGAGGCAGGGAGAGAAAAAAAAAGAGGTAACGCAGGACTCGCAGTTTTCTCGTCCCGTCGATCTCTCATTGCAATCGTCGATTTCTGCTGTACTCTGATACGTACGACGAATGCTCGTGAAAGCCCGTACGCGGATCGCGCGGTGCGAATTTTCCACGCGTGATCGCGCCTCTCCATCGATCAAATTCGGCGACGCTCAAGGAAACGGCGAGAGCAGCGTTGGCCGAGTTGGTTTCGAGTGGTTGCGATCGAGTCCAGAAATCCATTTGTCATCTCGTGCGTCAGGGGCCCCGAGACACGATCATTCGCTTCCGAGAGGAGACGGGTCTTTTTTTTTTTTTTTTAACGGGAAAGGTCGCGAGACCCTCGCTACGACGAATTTCTACGTTTCTCTTCAAAAACGGGTTTTAATCGACAATTTTTTCTACCGTGGCATCGAACATGAGAACAGAAAAACGATAGGTTGCTCGATAAACGAGTTATCGAGGTATCTGGACATTTTTGGAAAACGGCAAAACCATAAAATCAAATAAAATGTTACGAAATACCATGGAAAGTATATGGTTGCAATACCAATATCCCATAAGAGCCCTTTAGATTTTTTCGTCTATGTTTTAACCTAATATCTGTTTGTATGAAAAAATAAAGCAATTATGTAATATTAACGGAAATATGTGCATTGTTGCGCGGCTACGAAGAAAAAAGCATAAATGTGGTCGCAAACAATAGTAAGAAAGGGGTAGTATATAGGGAAAAAGGGACTCAAATGGGGAATGGGGTACCAGGTGAAAATCAAATTTTCATCCAACCGGTCCGTACAAAATTCTAATTTGACGTCTGAAACTGACGACTGAAGGGGTAAAAGTGCGAGAAGGGGTGATTATTTCACCCCTTGGGAAAAGATTTTTACGTATAATGCGCGTACCCGAAGCAACGTGCGTCGCGGGTGAAAGGGTGAGGCCTTTACCGCGGCGCAGAGGGGTGAAATTGTAGAAAATGATAAACAGGATGAATCTTATTCAAATAGAGAGACAAGATCCTGGATTTAAGCAGGGAACCCCCTGGGTATCCACCGGGTGCCTACCAAGAACCGCGGGCATATACCTGAGTCCTGGGAAAAAGGTACGGGACTTTCAACTTTTCTAGCGTTTTTTTACGAAGCATCAAGGGCTCAAATAAAGTGGCGGGATTTAAATAAAGAAGAGAATTCTATCGCTAAAAAGCCCACCCGTTGTCTCCTTCGCGTGGCAAAAAAATATGTGAATAAAAGCAGAATAATATTCGTGAATTAAAAACCGTCACTCTTCATTTTGCAAAAGAATGTAATAATGCAAACATACCAAAATAAAATTTATTTTATATTTCTAATGCTATTTTTTACAAATATTTTTAATTATAAATGTTTAACATTGCTATTTTTTTTAACAATCGAATATTTTAAACAATTTTATTTGGCACATAGACAGAACGATATTACCCAAATATTTTTTAAATACAAACCTGAAAATAAATTTTGTTAAATCACACCAAAATAATTATATAGAACGTTCAAGTTGATTTCTAGAATATCAATATCTGTTACAGCATTGTTTATTATGTTTGAGTTTACTACAGAAAAATCTTTTATTTCTTGTATTTTTCGTATCGTTTTTTTCTTGTATAATCGTTAGAATCCTGATATTTCTTGTCGTTTATATAAACTTGATCAACAATACCAGAGCGAAACCGACACCGAGGCAGGATCAGCGACTACTCGCAGACAGTATCAAGATCTAGCGTCAAACTCGATCAAAAGCCGTGAGCTCGTAAACCAGACTCTCGCTCGAGATAGCGTTCACCGATCGGAGCGAGAGAAAAAGAGAAAGAAATTAAGTTAAGGAGAGAGAGAGAGAGAGAGAGGGAGAGAGAGAGAGACGCATCGCGTCGGCCGCGAAGAAAGGAGAAACGGGGAGCGGTGACGCGATCCGAAAATCTCTAGTGAAAATACAGCTGGTATTTTCTGGTAGTCAGGTAACGGCGGGGTTCCGTCATTCTGGAAGAAGTTGGCGTCGCGGGAGGAAGAAAGGAGAATAGAGGCGAACGGGGGGTGGGGAATAAAAAAGGGGAGAGAGAGCACGAGATGTCATCTCGCACAATTTTTTTCTGTTGTAATCGCAAAGATCGCTTCACCATTCAAGGGTTGCACGCTGCTTCAAAGGGTTCTTGCGTACTGGAAGGGTACGATATATCCCTTCCCTCTCGCCGTTGCGTTGGCTCGCTCGCTCTTTTTCGTTCCTCCTCAACGCTACCTGCCCAACTGTTTTCGGTTCTCGGGTTACTAAAGACGCGGAAATCCAGAAATCGCGAAGGGCTCGGGAGCAGAAGAGCGAGACGAGAGACCCCTTTTCGTGGGGTTGCGTAGGGACTGTGAATGGTCCCGCGGAAAGAACCACCTCCTTGTCCTTCCTCGCGACGGTCCTACTTCGTCAAGATCCCTTCCTCCGCATATTGCGGCTCCTCTCTTCTCTTCCACGGATGTACCGGGGTCCTTAACCCCTTTCTTCTATCAGCTGCCGCGCGTAACAGCTGTACACCCTGCCGCGGTCTTAAAACCTGTGTTTCTAAGCACGATTGTGCGTGGGTATGTAACCGTTCTCGTAGCATATCGCGTCATTGATACCGATATTTACGCTTATAATGCTCTTTTCGAGAGATATGTATACTTATATGACAATCTCGATTTTCAAAATGCACACCTTTGTTAACATTGTCACTTTATTTGACTAATTGTAAAATTATTATTTTACATACATATGATGTATTTTTTGTTTAAGCAAAATGAGAGATGGTGATTCTACATAATTTTATGTTTAGTTTAATTTTTTTTTACAGTTACTTGTTTGGAATATACATAATTGAGAAAATACGATTGCGACTGATTCGACTAATTATTCTGATAACATTGTGTGCTAAAATAAAATATTCTTTATATATTTTGATAGAAATATATTTTTTAATTTATCAGTAAATTTGTGTCATAACACTTGATTCTAATTGGTATTTTATTAGTTTTAATTGATACGATCGTTTTGTTTTGTAAATATGGATGCAAATATTAAATTTGTATTTATATTTTTGCAACAACAAAACAATCATATCAATTAAAATTAATATTTACAAATTTAATATTTGCGAATTTAATATTTGCATCCATATTTACAAAACAAAACGATCGTATCAATTAAATTTGCAATACCGGAGATTTGAACCAAACAGGGTTTGCTCAAAAATAAAAATTTATTTTTATTTAGACCTTAAAAAAGTTTCAAACTAAATACCGATGAGAATAAGCCGGAGTCACGCTGGATCTTGAATGCTTCTAATATAATTTTCGTGTGAATTTATATACTACGTATGTAGATCCCTAAATGCGCGCCGAAATTTTTTCAGACTTACAACGCAAACTAATAAACTACTCCTATCACGAGTTAAATTGACTAACGATCTAACAATTTTGATGTCTATAACATTTTTGGATCCTAATAATATATTAAATGGTATATTAAAAATCTGTAAATAATTTAATTATATTGCGAAAAATATTACCTCGGCCGAAAATCGAACCCGGATCGCTTGCTTTACGCGCAAGTGTCCTAGCCAATTAGACTACCAAGCTTAATTGCGCAATCTGACGGTTGAGATCAAGTGTTACATATCTGCAAATTCGCTTCAGTAATAATGGAGATCTTGTGCACTTATTTTTTGCTGGTTACCAGTTTTATACGTATTTTTTATCTCTTAACGGATTATATACAGATATAAATGATAAGAATACCAATTTTACAATATTATACAATCTGACTTTTGAATTTTCATCTTTTTGACTCAAAGTATGAAGAACACAAACGGAATAATTTTTGAAGGATAACGAATTTTGTATAACGAATTTATCTGTATTTACTGTAAATGAGAATGATCCGATCGGAGTCGAAACGTCTGTAGCTACATATATTATTATTATATTTAAAGTTCTTTTGGTTTTGTTATATATTATCGGCTCTTTGCCCCCTTTTTATTTATATTGTTATATATAAATAATTTTAATGTTTAATAAATTACATACATTAAAAGCTAGGTATATATTAAACATAATATGTTTATGTAAATTTTATTAACAACATTATATTTTTGTTACAGATCCGAATGCGATAATGTGACTGGTCCTGAGTTAGCTGTATGGGTAAATACAATTTAAAATGTATAGTTAATAATATTTTCCCGTTAAAGTTATGTGAAATTAGTGTGATTAGTATGTAGATTTTTGCATGCAGACAAATGTTTTTACAAAGAAAACAAAGAAATTTGAAAATTGTAGTCTTTTTCTTTTAAAAAGCAAGAAAAAATTTTTTTAATAATATAATGATAATATTTATAATAGAATGTACTGAAATATGTTTCCCGACTTTATTTATAACAAATTATATAATTATAATTCTATGAATAATTTGATAGTACGGAATTCCACACATACACATTTTTGTTTATTTTTCTGATAAGTACAGAAATTTTTTGAATAAATAGTCAGCAGAAATTTACACCTCGCTTTTTAAAAACTTCAAATCTTTGTTTTACGTTATAGAAAATAACAATATAAATAGACAAACATAAAAATCGATCAAGCGTGCACTTGAGAAAAAATTGGCTGGAAATGGCACAACATTTTTAAATGGCCGCAACAGCCAATTGTTTATAGTCTTTCGAAATTCGATCTACTGGCACTGCGGATAGACTAACGTAACCAAAAACTGCAGGCTGCTGAAAGCAATTAAAAACGCTATGCTATATTTTTCCATTTCATCTGCTGTAGCAGCAAATTTTTTTTTTCAGTGTAGGAGTCGTTACGCAAATAAAAATCGTGCCAATGTAATGACATATATAATATAAAACAAATCTTTTCCCGCGAAAAAAAAGTTAATATATTCTAAATAAAAGTCTTATAAATTCTTTATAAGGATTTCATTAAAATTCATATAAAGAATTTTAAAGTCTTTATATAACTTTATAAATAAATGCGAACATGTATATATTTTTAATAATAGTTTATATTAACAACTTATTTAAGTTTAATAAGTCCTTACTAAATCTTATTAAAGTCCAATTTATATAATTTAATTAAATCTTAACAAGTTTTAAATAAATTGAATTAATATGTTTTAATAAGTTGAATTAATAAGTTCAAATATGGTCTTATATAACTTAATAAGAGACTTGTAGCGTCTCGCAGTTTTTGAACATGGCCGGAGACGCTACCGCGTCTCCTGATATGGATCATTATATGGTCCAAATTAAATCTATATAAGGTTTTAATAAAATTAAATTTATTGGAATCGTTATTTAGATCTTATTTACTATTATATTAAATTTTAATAAAATTTATATTCAATTATATTAAATCCATATACATTTTTTTTTACGGGTTAATTTATATATGTCATTTTTTATATTATATACGACTGTCGCGCTTGATTTTTATATGTCTGTACATTGTTATTTAATTTATTAGGAGTCCGTTTATTATTATATTAAACGCTAGTTAATTACTATCTTAATTATATTAGCAAGTTCATCAATTACGTTAATAAAATTTGCATTTTTGTAATTGCTTAATTTCGCATCGCGAGTGTATATTATGTTAGGTAAGCGCTGAAGTAAATATGGTACATTATTGACATGGGACAACATAGATATTCCTGAGAATTATTTCCAGGTGCAATTATGAACATAATTGCAGTGGAAGGTACATTGACGGACATTATGGGACGTCGCGAAATAATGAGTACTTAATGTTAATTTAATTAATCTGTGTTTTTAGCTACATTTTTTCAGCGATTGTACAATTTGTATATTATTATTTTTATTATTTTATATTAGTAAAATTAAAGTTCTGTAATTTTACAAAATGCTGAGAAATTGTATCTCTCTCTCTTGTTTAATAACATTCAGGTAAGTTTATATATTAAATGAATGAAATATGTTGTAGCGCTGAAAAGAGCAGATTATACTGCATGTGTAATAATAGCAAGTTATAATAATCACACTAATTTCCAAAGAAAATAGAGACAAACTGCGAAACTAAATAAACTAACAATTTCATATTTCGTGCACCTATTTGCAGTTGATATAACATTATTTTGTATATCTACATATACTTATACATTTGAAATCTAAATATGCAGAATTTGTAGTTTTATATCTTTCACTTAATATATTTTTATATTTTTATTTTATGACATTTTTATGTGCATATTTGATATTTATAAAACATTTTATAAAACATATATATATATATATATTATGTTGTGTTATGAGAAAACATGATATATGGTTTCTTGTTTTATGAGAAAAACACACACCACTTTACGATTATTTAGGTGTGTATTAATATGAGATATTTTGCATATAAACATTTCGCGTCTTCACTTCCATTGCGTTTGAAAAATCTTAAGTCACGGCTCTACGCCTCCACGACGGTTCCCCGTCCAAAACGTGACTCGCGTGAAATTCTTAAGATCTTACGACGCGCGACAAAAAAATCCTGTTTCGGGGATCGTCGATCGGCTTAGCGTCGTCTATGGAACGAGCGAGCGTGAAAGGAACTGCTTTCAAAGGAGGAGTCATCGTAAAAATAGATTCAGATAATAGAAAGTACCGAATGCGTACGCGTGTCAGACTGAAGGGGGAATAAAGTACGAATCATGTAAGAATTCATAAGCGATACGAGTCGTCCGAAAGTATACCATGAGACGGGCTGAGATTACATCAGCGTGTTCAACTCCGCATTAAAAAGAAGAAGCTTTTGTGAAAGCAAAAATGGGAACTTTGTTAAAAAATGGGAGGGTTCATCTTTTGCAACATCGTAAATTTACTGTTCTTGACACAGTTCGATTTTATTTAGTTGCACGTGTTAATCTCTTGAACTTTTTACTTTACTTTTTCATTAACGAAGTCAGTCTCCCGCAGAACGTGGTTTGTCATTGTATCAGTGCAGGCAGTGTATGCTAAAAACACTTTTATCCTCGTAATTCCCGGAGGCTTTTGGAGAGCAAAACCCGCTCGATGAGATAGCGTCTCCTTGAGAAACAGCAGACTTCGAAGATCCCGTGCCCTCTATTAGATCTCTTCGACCATTCTCGAGACACAAACGCGCACATGGCCCCTCATTCGGGAGATTCGGTCCAACTTATCGGACGTCCTGTAATTTTAGAATTACAAATATGTCGATTACAGTTTATTGAACCCAATCTGTATGCTTTCTAGAAAGAAGTTTTTGCACAGAAACGTACGAATATACTTACCTTCTCACATTCGCTTTCGACTGCTAAACGGTATAGAATAACGGCAATTGCTGGGACAAATTGAAATTTATTTTTTTTAAATCAATATTTAATCATAAAATTTTTAAGCGATTTACAATATTTTTTATCGCGTTGAAAATTACTTTTGTGTTTTATTTTCAACGGTTATATCACTTATTTTACACTTAGTAATTATTGATTATTCAGTTTCATAAGTCAAGGAATATTGATAAAGATGAGACAAATTAATAATGATAAAAACTAACTTGTGTAATACAGAAATAATTAGAAGAGATTCTCAAATAAGCAATGATTTGATATAAATTAAAATGAAACAAATTTTATATATAAGAAAAAGTTCTAAATCCTGATAAATATAATTACTCGTAGAGCATTTAGAATTGTTTTTATAAAAATAATGACAATTCAGTATTTAAAGTAATATAAACTGATTAAATAATTTATAAAATAAATTACTTAATGAAATTTAAATAATTAATATAACTATATTATAATTAAATAATCATATTGTAATTTATTTTATATAAGCAGTTTAATATAAAACACATAACATTTATTTTCTGTTAAATAATTTTCGTCATGACTTGTTATTGGCCGTTGACTTCTCCTAATTACTTTAGACAAATTAATTCGAAAGTGGAGACACATAATTTTCTTTCAGCTTTCACACGAATTGACAAACTCAAGGGTGTCTTTTCTTGTCGACTTTTTTCAGCGTTGTCTCTCGCACCCTTGGTAACGTGCGATCGAGCGCGTTACAGGTTGTGGGAAGTAGGGTAATTCTGAAGAGTGGATTTGGAGGCGACGACCCTCGTAATTTAATGCACAAGTTGCACTCGGAACACTTAAGTAAATCTCACTTCCGCTCGTCGAGCGAGGAGATTCGGTTTCGGTAATTTGTGCCGGAACTTCCGCGATCCGGGCAAATGTGACCCCCCAGAACGATCGACGAGGAGAAAAAAAAAAAAGGAAAAAAGTGCCGAGGGTAAATTCTCGACTCCAGTAAATCTTGGAACACCTTAACGATCTGCGCGACGATTAATCATTCTCGCCTTTATACACCACCGTGCACTGATCAACCGATTTTTCTTTCAAGACCTCTCCGTTTTTCGTATTCCTCGATAATTTTTTCTTCCCTCCTCACACCCTCCTTCCTTCCATCGTAATACTATTTGCTGGCGAGCATCGGGAAGGGGTTTCTCTTGGTCGAATCCATCGATCAGCCGATGTTAGTGAAAGAGTTTCACGACGGCGTGAAAATCTTAATGATCGAACGGTACGAGAATCTTTTTAATAGTTCCTTTTTTTCGTACGTTCCTTCGTGTTTCGAAAGACGTATGGATCTATGAAATTCTTCCAAAGCAACAGACGTTACAGCAGGTGCTGCGCGAGAAGTCAGTTGCTCTAACAGATGAATTTTTAATCTTGAAATTATAAATTATTAAAAAGTTCTTCACACAAGTTATATATATATATATATAGATTTGGAGAAAATATAATAATATTTCTCTTGAGAGTTCATTGTATCGCCCTACTTTTATCGAGATAACTCAAAATTAGGTCAGTTAATCTTATCATAAAGTTATTTAATGCTGTTTCCAAATATACGTACATATGGACGTTAATCGACTCGCTATATAAAACGTTACCTGATGTCGCGCTAAATGACACGGCTGTCTCATATTTCTCCTACGCGCACACCCCTCAGAAAGCGGGGGAAAAAGTACCGGGGTTAAAACGCGACTAGGAAAAGAACTTTTTATCGTGCCGGAAGTCCTCCTGATCCAACTAACTCTCGAAGGACGACAATCCGTCCGTAACCCTTCTTAGAACTTTTTTCTTTTCTCAAATACGTCCCACATTGTCGTGGGAACATCGG